TTGGCCCTAGAGAGTTCCTTGTTCCTGCTTCCTCACACCAAGCTGAAAGGCTCTCCCCTCAATGGGGACCGGGGGAGAAGGGATGGTAGGGCAGCGAACTGACCAACAAAAACTGTCTGCAAACTGCTTGCCCTGTTTGCTGCCACTGTTCACTTGCTGTCCTCTATGCTAGTTCTTATTCCTGGTTATGCCTGTAAGTGTAAGTGTGTACCCAGTAAAAACAAGGCCCTGGCACTGCTCCAGGTGGCTTGCTTCCTAAACTAGAAACTTTGTAGCTGCCTCCACACAGGGCACATCTACACATGCAATTAATTTGAAGCAATAAACTCCAGCATATATCACATCACACTTTTTTGCTCCCAGATGTGCCATTTGAATGTGTACCCCAGACCACACCATGTTGAGCCAAGTCAGAGGAGTCCCAGCTGGCAGAGGTCCCAGGGGGGTCACCCTGCTAGCCTAAGGATCCTCCAACTCTGCTCACCATGCTGTGGAGGGGCAGCAGGGGAACGAAGGTGCTCCAGTGTGGGGTTAGCCATTCGGCAGCCCCAGCACTGAAGCATCTTTGTGCCCCAGCCAGCCCAGTCAGCATCTGCACATGCGTTGCTGTGCACTAAAAAAAAAAAAAACCAAAAAACAAAAACACTCTGCTGCAGTATAGTACCTGTATTTACAACTACTAACCTGTAGCAGAGTTTGTTAGTTTACTGTGTCCCAATAGGGCTGCACATGTAGACACTGAGAGCTCTGCAGTAAACATCTTGTGTAGACATGCCCACAGATGACCTATGTGGGGGTGGAGTAGATAGCCTGGAGTTGGGGGTAGTGCTGGTTGTTGTAATAAGAGTTAACTCCCTTTCTGAGGACTGACATGATGACATCATTGTCTGTGTGTGTTAGTTGTTGCAATAAAGCCCCTTTGAAAGCAAGAAGTCTCCCTTCTTCCTCCTGAACTATAAGGGTGCATCCAGATGAACCCACACATACCTCTTGCAGCATCTCAAACCCCTTTGAGATGCTGCAAGAGGCAGGTGCAGGAACAACAAAATGTTCCCCATGCTGCAGATTTCCAGCATGGGGGCAAAATTTGACCCCTGGATATCCAGGGGTCAAAAAACACCACATAAAAATAGAATTTGAACAACTGGAGGCTGGGTCCTCCACAGTGACACTGACTGCCAGAGCATCTCTGTGGTTAACACTCACCCTGGTGCTGAAGCATGCTGCCTGCCCATGCAGGGAGCTGGACCCAGGCTCCACTGCCAGTAAGGGCTTTGGGGGGTGGAGGGGGAGGGAGGGGACCATGGAGAGAGACTCCCACTGTCCCCGCACACTGCCCCTGGCCCAATCCTTGCCCTGTCCCCCAACCCTCCCAATCCCTGCTCTGCCTGTCCCCATTCCCCCCCAGACCTCCAATCCCTGCCCCCCCACCCCAGTATCTCTGCAATTAAAAACAAAAAAACAATGCCTCCCCAGAACTTACCAGCAGTTCTGGTTGCTCATCTGGGTCACTGGGGCCCTAGCTGCACAGTGGTGCAGGGTGAGAGCCCCAGCAGCCTGAGCCCAGGCCCTGCTGCCCCCCACTGCCCTGTGCTGCTAGGGGGGCTCTGCCAGGAGATCCCAGAGCCCCCACAGCCTGTGCTCAGTAAGTAGAGGCTTTTTTTTTTTTTTTTTTTTTTTTTTTTTTTTTTTTTAAAGTGCCAGAGGCTGGGTTTGGGGGCCTGTTGTCAGAGGGGGGCTGTAACCCCTATGGGGGTGCTGTGTCCCCTGTTGAGGTGTTGCCCTTTGGGGTCAGGCCAACTCTCAGGATCTTAATATTGTGCTGTTAGACAGGAGGGTGTGACAATTGCACATATACAAACACACAAATCAATTAGGTGCAAACACACGCATACTACCAACTCAGGCACATACACATCCAGACCAGCCTAGGCACATGCATACCCATCACCAATGCATGCACATACGCTATACACTCCAGAAGTTAGACATAGATCACTAATTCGTACATCATGCAAACAATGCCACACACACACACAAGATATGAATTAGTGATCTGCACACACACACAAATGAGATACGAATTAGTGATCTGCACACACACACACACAAATGAGATCCGAATTAGTGATCTGCACACACACACACAAATGAGATCCGAATTAGTGATCTGCACACACACACACAAATGAGATCCGAATTAGTGATCTGCACACACACACACAAATGAGATCCGAATTAGTGATCTGCACACACACACACAAATGAGATCCGAATTAGTGATCTGCACACACACACACAAATGAGATCCGAATTAGTGATCTGCACACACACACACAAATGAGATCCGAATTAGTGATCTGCACACACACACACAAATGAGATCCGAATTAGTGATCTGCACACACACACACAAATGAGATCCGAATTAGTGATCTGCACACACACACACAAATGAGATCCGAATTAGTGATCTGCACACACACACACAAATGAGATCCGAATTAGTGATCTGCACACACACACACAAATGAGATCCGAATTAGTGATCTGCACACACACACACAAATGAGATCCGAATTAGTGATCTGCACACACACACACAAATGAGATCCGAATTAGTGATCTGCACACACACACACAAATGAGATCCGAATTAGTGATCTGCACACACACACACAAATGAGATCCGAATTAGTGATCTGCACACACACACACAAATGAGATCCGAATTAGTGATCTGCACACACACACACAAATGAGATCCGAATTAGTGATCTGCACACACACACACAAATGAGATCCGAATTAGTGATCTGCACACACACACACAAATGAGATCCGAATTAGTGATCTGCACACACACACACAAATGAGATCCGAATTAGTGATCTGCACACACACACACAAATGAGATCCGAATTAGTGATCTGCACACACACACACAAATGAGATCCGAATTAGTGATCTGCACACACACACACAAATGAGATCCGAATTAGTGATCTGCACACACACACACAAATGAGATCCGAATTAGTGATCTGCACACACACACACAAATGAGATCCGAATTAGTGATCTGCACACACACACACAAATGAGATCCGAATTAGTGATCTGCACACACACACACAAATGAGATCCGAATTAGTGATCTGCACACACACACACAAATGAGATCCGAATTAGTGATCTGCACACACACACACAAATGAGATCCGAATTAGTGATCTGCACACACACACACAAATGAGATCCGAATTAGTGATCTGCACACACACACACAAATGAGATCCGAATTAGTGATCTGCACACACACACACAAATGAGATCCGAATTAGTGATCTGCACACACACACACACAAATGAGATCCGTTAGTGATCTGCACACACACCCACACACAAATGAGATACCAATTAGTGATCTGCACACACACACACACACACACACACACACACACACACACAAATGAGATACGAATTAGTGATCTGCACACACACACACACACACAAATGAGATGCCAATTAGTGATCTGCACACACACACACACACACACACACACACACACACACACACGAATGAGATATGAATTAGTGATCTGCACACACAGACACACACACACGAATGAGATACGAATTAGTGATCTGCACACACACACACACACACACACACGAATGAGATATGAATTAGTGATCTGCACACACACACACACACACACACACCCCCCATTGGTTTTTTTTTTTGGGGGGGGGGTTCTGATACTCTCTCTCCTCCTTCAACCCTTTCCTCTCCTCTGCCCACACTGTCCCTAGGGAGCTTTGGAAAGGCTTAGCTTCATCCCAAGGTGGAATAGGAAATGTTTTGTTGACAAGAAAGTGGCTTTTTGCCCAGATCTACTCCAACTTAAATATTTGCTGTTCAAATCTCAAGTTAATAGATAAGCAAAGATTTGATCACTAGTGTACCTGTTTCAGTATTTTACCATTAATTACTCTCCAGGTAAACTCAGTTGGGTTTCAAGTAAATTCAAGGGAAAATGTACATTAAGTTATAGAGCTGATTAATTATACTGTATAAAACTTAAATACACAATAATTAACCTAGTTGACATCTTAATACTTATCCTATAATTAATGTTGGAAGTTATTCCTTCTTTTTAATGCAAAGAAAGATTTGCATATTATTGATTAAACTTCTGCCATTTCATATTATTTCTGGCTTATTTGGTTTCCACAGATTTATAGCACCTATCTAAATGGCAAGAGATGGGAGTTATATCCTTCTATATTAAAAGTTTTGCTTTTGATAAACTATATTGAATTCAAAATGTTTCAACAAGTCAGCATAATTAGGGGTTGTGAGGTACTGCACCATCCATGGTATGATTCTGAATGAACCACTTGATTAGTACAGGCTGTCCTGAAAAATATTGCATCAAACTATACATAGTGAAGGTATAGTTATGGCCCAATCTGCCTTCCTAGATGCCATTTCCCACTACTAGGGCAATTATATTGTAATTTTAACCAAAAGAAGTGTAACTAGCTCATAGCTAGGTGAAGTTAAAATGTTATGAAAATTAGATCTAATACTGTCAAAATGTACTGCTTCTAAGGAAGATTTAAATACTTCTAATTAATGTGGAGTATTTGAGGATTCTAAAAGATAATTAAATGTTAGCAACCAGTGAGTTATCTGAAACAGAGAATAAAAGATGCAAAGAATTATATGAAAACAACCCTGACCCTGTTTTAAGGTAATGCCCTTTAAATATGGGAAGTCCATTTTACCCACAAAACTATGATGTCTGCTTAATAACCATATATTAGTTTACCATACAGATAATTTACCCAGTGGCAAACTGTGTGTACCTGTGTTCAATCATTGCATACATGGAGAACGAATGAAAAACATCTCCAAAAAATAATAAAATAAAATAAAAAATATACAGAAATTTCCCAAGTGACTCAGTTTTGTATATTGAGTTTTAAGAGTTATTATGATAAACAAATCTCTTGTTGGGGAGATCAAAGCAGTCTTGCAGTATCTGGAACACCACCATAGTCTAATCTGGGTCAAAAATGAACTTGATCAACAACAAGCAGTATTTGGAATTACAAAATATTTAACAGAATTACATCTCCAAAGTTAATAAAATACTTTTTGAAGTACATCTAGATTATATTACCTCCCATCTTTCAAACTTCCATTGTATGATCCAAAAGCAACTTGACATGTGTGACAGACTGTTGTGTACTATGTGTTAATTTGACAGTGGATAATTTGTTTATAACCAAGATACCTGTGAAGTATATTTGCTCAGTTGGTGAATTTTAATCACCTTCCATAAAGAACATTGGGAAATAGGTTTGTGACTGGCATCTCCTGTATGAAACATCAGCTGTATCATAACCCTCCAATCTCAGATGAACCGCATAAATTTCTGCTCCATGTGAGCTAAAATGTTGTGACAGGATGAGACTTACTCTTTGCCAGTCAGTCACCTGTCTCTGTTTGGCGGCAATAGATGACAGTACTCAGGATTTATTATAGCGGCAATTACAGAAGGGGTACCTATGCACATACACCTGGCATATTCAGTGTGTAAGACACTCGTTCTGTTACCCATTTCCAGCTGTGCTTTGAATGACCTTGTGCAACTTCTTGGTTAACTTTTATGTGCATCTTTAAAAAAAGGACATTAATGCAAATTGAAGAGCACACAAAATATAAGGAGCAATGTGTAGGGGCGTTTGGAATTGAATTTGTGGTGTGCAAAAGGTTAGTTGTGCATGTCATCCCCTAATGTAAGGAGTGATTTGTATGAAAAGTCTTTGTCTGCCTTCCTCTCAGGGAAATGTCTGATTTGGCATCAGAGCAGCAAAGACAGCCTGATTCAGTGGAGATATGGAGCGTAGTACATGTTCCAGCATGTTTGAGAGCTTAGAGTACTGCATTACAGCTGAAGAACCATTTGACTTTGAAACTGAAAGACCCAAAGGCATAGTCTTAGCTTTAGAGAAATAGCTGAGTAGCTATAAGCGAGCTCATTGGAGAAATTAGGTCACTCTCAGAACAACAGTGTAAAATGAAGAAAAAAAAAAAAAAAGAATGAATATCCTTTGAAAGGGGATGGGAAAGAGGGGAGATTTGATTTTTTAGAAGTAAAATTTAGTAAGCCTGAAAACAAAGGCCTACTCTAAAAGAATTTGAAGTGAACAATACAGGGAATCAGACAAAGCTAAGGAGGAAAAAAAGAAAAATACAAAGAAGAGTCCAGAACATACAATTTAGAATGATAAACACAGCTGAAAAATTCTGTTATTCACCTCATGGGGAAAGCACTATATCAGTACAAGTGGGCCAAAAAGGAAGCAAATACTTAACAGCCCCAAAATCAGGGGACCAGGAGGCAAAGGAAAATAGTAGTAAAGATGTGTAATGGCATTATGAGGGAGAAAATGGCAAAAGATAAAGGAAAGGAATATGAAGAAAGAACAATGAGAGTGTTAACAGGAAGGATAAAGTCCTTTGCTTTGAAATAAACTAAAGCCCCCCCAGAAGAATAACTTCTGAGCTTAAATATAGGCACATCTACCCACTTCAAGTTAAGTGTGCAAAAATCAGAACCAAGAAGGAAGGGTGATAGTATTATGTGAACACTGAGCTGAGACTTGGGAGACTTCAGTTCAGCATATGCTTCTGACTTCCTGGGTGACCTTAGGTCTGGTCTCCACATTTAAAGGATGAGTGGAGGGGTATGTTAAGTTTGTAGTGGTATTTTCTCTAATGTGGACACAAGCTAAATATACCAAAAAAGTTATTCTCATTCTTGTATGAGACTTTTATGCCGATATAACCATGTACATGCTTAAGAGTTCACATATACTGCAGTAGTTAAAGCAGTACAGCCTTCTAGTGTTAAGCAAGGAATCAATATCTCTATGTCCCGATTACCTGTCTGAAGAATGGGAATGAACTGTTTCCTTTCTTCCCCATCTTGTTGATTGATCTATACTTGGGCTGAGATGTTAAAAAATACTGGCTGCTAACCCAGTTCTGCTCCTGTGGAAGTGAAGAGGATGACAGTAAAGCCAATACTGAAAAATTCTAAAAACATCCTCAAATTTTAAGTTCTCCTGATTTGAGTGTTGTCTCTCGCTATGAATCTGGTTTGGGTCTCTCTCTCAAATGTGGTCTTTAGATGCAATTGTAATACACACCGAAGATAGATTTAACCTGTTGTCTTAAAGAGGTGGCATTATAATATAAGTGAGATTTTTGCCACTGTTGCTTGTTTTGGGTTGTCCTAATAGTAAAATAATTAATAATATGAGTAAAGGTGGTATCTATTGGTTCTACAGGAAGTAGCACAAACTTGTGGTATCTGAAGATTTCAAAAACTTAATAGATGACTGTCATGGGGGGGGAGGGGTCCCGTAGGGACGGCTGTGATGTCCCTAGGACCCAGTGACCTTGTTAGCTTTGCCCCATAGGCGCCTTCTATTCTTGCCTACCACATCTTGATGGTTAAAATAATATATGGTAGATAGGGAGGCTGCTCTCAAGGTACTATGCAGTCACAGCCCTGGTGGACCCCACTATACTGTGGATTCTTATCCACCTTGCTGGATCTCGCTGCAAGTGCCTCGCAGGACACCCCAAGCCTTATGGGCTAGATGCATAGTTCTAAAACCTCTTCTTTACCACACCCCATGTCTCACAGGTGGTATTCACATTTTGTCCCTCTGAGGCCTTGATATAGCTCAGTTTCCCTTCATCACTGGGCCCTTGTCCCCTGTCTGTTCACTCCCCCACTGGCACTGGGCTCTCCACATCCCCATCTGTGCACCCCCACTGGTGCTCCCCCACTGGGAGGCTCTCTGCATCCCTTTTATAACTGCGCCCCCTTGTGCTGCACCTGCTGGCCTGGGGTCTCCACACTGTAGTGTGCCCCAATGAGGCCTCCTCCTCCTCAATAGCCTCAGGCCAGTCCACCAGTTTAAATAACAACATAAAACACAAGCCGTTGTACTATAACAATACAAACAGTGCAGAGTGCACTTTGTCCCTTTAAAAGAGGCAAACTTCTCCCCAAGCATTAAGTATCTTGTAGCCCAGGTACCTGGTGAGTCCAGGAGCCTGATTACTCCTGTAAGCAGTATATCAGGTGGTCACAGCATCTCTGGGCAGTTCTTTTCTGCAGAATCCTTCCCCTGGCTGCTGCCAGAGAACTAACCCCTGCTGGCTTCAGCCCTGGAGTTTATATATGCCCAGGGCCCTACCTTTTTCCAGTCAGCTGATGGGGTGCAGGTGCAGGCTAATTCCCTCATTAGACTGCTGCCATAATAACCTGCACCTGTATGGGGTTTCTGCCTGGCTCCTAGGGCCCTCTCTCTAGGCAGATTCTGTCCTTAAAGGAAATGGCACATTAGTGCCCTGTGACAATGACCAAAGAATGACTAGATAAAATAACACATCAGCAAGGCAAGTCTGAGGTAAGAATTAGGCTAGTGCAAACAATAGTCACATGTACAATTCATTTCCTCTTCATCTTTTTCCATCTATACATAATGATATAACAAAACAACAAATTTAAATTATATTTAAGTCATGGTACCTCGTTCTGCTATTAATGCATTTTAAACCACTTACAGTGAGCTTGCATTTGCAGGGCATAAAAGAGACAAAGAGAAGCTATTATAATTTATTCCCGACATTCAAAATAGAAATTGTACCTGTATCGTAATTTTTGCTTGCAGCTTAACATATGCATAAAGTGGACATTATAGTATAATTTAAAAAAGGCCTCATCTACACATTACATTTAAGGCATAATTAACCAGTTAATCATTCCTTAACTGCTCACCCAGCCATGTGTTCATTCAACTAATGGCATGATAAAAAGAGGAATAATCTATAAAGTTATTTCCACAAAATAATAGAAAATTAGGGTTGTAAGGGATCTCAGGAGGTCATCTAGTCCAAACCCCTGCTCAAAGCAGGGCTATTTCCAGCTACATCATTCCTTGTCTAACCAGGTTTTGAAAATCTCCAAGGATGGAGTTTCCACCACTTCTCTGGGTAACCTGTTCCAGTTCTTCATTACCCTCCTAGTGAGAAAGTTTTTCCTTATATCTAACCTAAACTCCCCTTGCTGCAACTTAACACCCCTGATCCTTGTTCTGTTATCTGCCACCACTAAGAACAGTCTAGCTCCATCCTCATTTTAACTCCTGTTCAGGGAGCTGAAGGTTGCTATTAAATCTCCCCTAAGTGTTCTCATCTTCAGACTAAGCCCAGTTCCTTCAGCCTCTCCTCAAAAGTCATGTGCCCCAGCCCCCAAACCATTTCTGTTAACCTCCATTGGACTCTCTCCAATTTTCATAGATTCATAGATGTTAGGATCGGAAGGGACCTCAATAGATCATCGAGTCCGACCCCCTGCTTAAGCAGGAAAGAGT